TGACGCGAAACACCTCTCCCACTGCATGGTCCCGGGTAACCAGCGTAACCAGCTTTTAGGGCTTAGGGCTTAACCGTAAACCCTAAACCCTAAACCCTAAACCCTAAACCGTAAACCCTAAACCCTAAACTTGAAAAAAACAACAGCCTCCAAGAACGGCTCAGGCTCGGGAAGTTCCAGCCCTTCACGACGACGCCCTTCTTTTGGTCAGGCCGGGGCCTTTGATTAAGTTTTGGGGCTTTAGGGGTTTAGGATTTGGGGGTCTAGGTTTAGGGTTTGGGGCTTTCGGGGTTTAGGATTAAGGGTTCCATAAGGGTACTAGAGGGTTTAGGGTTTAGGGCTTAGTGGTCTAGGGCTTTAGGGGTTTCGGGGTTTAGGATTTAGGGGTCTAGGTTTAGGGTTTAGGGCTTTAGGGGTTTAGGATTTAGGGGTTTAGGGTTTAGGATTTAGGGGTCTAGGCTTAGGGTTTAGGGGTTTAGGGCTTTAGGGCTTTCGGGGTTCAGGGTTTAGGGCTTTCGGGGTTTAGTGTTTAGGGTTTAGGGGTTTAGGGCTTTAGAGTTTAGGGGTTTAGGGCTTTAGGATTTAGTGCTTAAGTTTAAGGTTTAGGTTTTAGGGCTTAAGTTTAGCGTTTTGGGTGGTTTAGGGATTTGGGGCATGTCCGTTTAAGTTTACGGTTTGGGTCTGATTTTTCGAAGGGTTTAGGAGTGTCCTCAACGCTGCACGCGTTTTTGTCAACGAGGAGTTGTGAGATCGAGGTCCCGTTGGTTTAGGTGAGCGCTTCAAAGCTGTCGAGACTCGGCGAACAGACCGGGTGTCTTCAATTTATGAACCCCAGTATAGACTTAGATAGTAACAGTCGAATTCTTGTTGTCATAGACAGCAGGATCCTTCTGTTAGGGATCCGTGAATACGGTGCCTCGAATTTTGAAGAAACTCGCTCGCTAAACTCCACGGAAGCCTCTCCACTCCAACCTATGTCCTAGATCCAAATCCTGTCTGTAAATTCGGATCCCTAAACCCTAAACCCTAGGCCCTAAACCCTAGGCCCTAAACCTTAGACCCTAAACCCTAAACCCTAAACCCTAAACCCAAAACCCGATCCGAGGGCTCTTCGGCAACCTGAACCTGCGCTTCGTCGGACATGCGCCCGAAGCCCTGGATCGCGTCATCATCGAAGGCATCGGGGTTTCGATAGGGTTTAGGGTTTAGGGTTTCGGGTTTCGGGTTCCATAATTCGGCTCCTTCTAAGGGTGCTATAGGGTTCTTTAATAGGATTCCCGTTAAGGATTTAGGGTCTAGGAGCCGGGCGGTAAGGGCAGCAGTCGCCTCCTTGTGAAAAAGGGTTTACTTAAAGATTCATGGGACTTACTGTAGCAACTAGGGAAAACATAGCATGCAATACTTACAACTGCAGGTATATATCCCCAATCAAGGTACTTGTAACTTTAGCTGCTAGGTCCCTGATCCTGTAGGGTTTGGCGTGATGTAGGATGTGTTCCTTGCCTCGCCTCTGCGAAAACCGCGGGCTGAACTGCAGCCCCAGGTAATGTAAGCAACAAACCCGAAACCCCTAAACCCCTAAACCCCTAAACCCCTAAACCCTAAACCCTAAACCCTAAACCCTAAGCCCCTAAACCCTACCCGAAACCCTAAACCCAGGTGATGTAAGCAACATGGAGTTCATCTCATACTACACGGAGGACGACGAGATCCGAGCCGTGGCGACGGTCAACAAGGACGGCGCTTGCGTAGATTCGGCCCGAAGCAAGGGAGGTCCGTGAGCTCCTATTTTCAAAAAGATTATTTGTAGGTTGGGGTTCAGGGTTCAGGGTTTGGGGTTTGGGGTTTGGGATTTTATGTTTTTGCCCATGCTCTGGACGACAAGGAGCAACTCTCCAAGAACGCATGCATGTGCAGATCTAAACTCAAATTTACAAACACCTACAGCTGAAATTAAAACAACCCTAAGGAAGAGCAGGTCCGAGCTTCAGCACCCTTCGAACCCGACGCCTCTACAGTAGAAGCCCACGGCGTGGGTTTAGGGTTCAAGGTTTAGGGTTTGGGGCTTAGGGTTTAGGGGTTTAGGGTTTAGGGGTTTAGGATTTAGGGTTTAGGGATTTAGGGTTTCGGGTTTTTAGTCTAGGACATTTTCAGGTGGGTAGTTACCGTTATAGGAGCCTTATAGAAGGTCTATATACCTTCTGGAATCCGTATAGAAGCCCTATATACGCTAAACAAACCCTAAACCCTAAACCCAATAGCCTCAATCCTTATTTGTAGCCGGAGAGACTCATTATGGCTTCTCTATATAGCTCCTTAAGACGGTATGTCTGTTTCGGTTGCAGGCAACAGTATCTTATAGGGAATCTCAGCACTATTTGTCCTTAATCCGGTTTCCAAGTTTTGGGGGTTTACAAAAAGAATCCTTGAATGGATCTGTAAGGGTTCCTTTATAGCGCCCTATAAGGGGACCCTGTTATAGAATAGAGGTCTTTTTAAGGGTACTCGAGGGCTCCATAATAGGCTCCCTTTCAACGGTACTGTAGGGTCATATAAGAGGGTATCCTTTAGGGATCTTTATGGGTACTATGAAGGTCCCTGTTAAAGGTATTGCTATGGTTTGGGTAAGTATCCCCCGTATAGGTACCGTTATATGAACCCTCAAAGGAACCCTTAAAGAACCCTAAACCCTAAACCCTAAACCCTAAACCCTAAACCCTAAACCCTAAACCCAAAACCCTAAACCGTATATATAGTGTTATTCCTTTGCCCAAAGCCTTAAAGACACAAGTCCAACCTGCAAGTTTTAATTCCCATAAGCCCCGGAGCGCCTAAACCCCCAAACGCGAAACCCCAAACCCTAAAAACCCAAAACCC